TGAGAAAGATCAACCATCTCCTTGTTCCCATGCAACATTTCGAATGTATTTCCTCCTGACCATCAGGCTCGATCAATGCTCTAATAGAGAAAATGGTCGAACCCTTACTCGACTTCTAGCATAATATGGGAATATGAATCTCGAAGAGAAATGTGGATATACGACAAGATAAGAGAGACCCACAATCAAAATATGCTCCAGTTAAATACCAGTTTACTTTATTGGAGTGTTGAGTCGAGAGGAGGATGTCTCGAAGTTCTGAGAAGTCGCTCTCTTTTGTATGCGAGCCAACCTAAATAATAGGATGAACGAAGGAACAACTCTCTGCCAGACAAACGAAGGAGACGATTCGAAGACTAAGGTTAAGCTACGAATGAGCTTGGTTCAAAGGCACTCATATGACTCACGTTGTTCGACTCGCCATCATCAAACGAATGGATGTGTACTAACGACCGGGAACCATCATGATTGGCTGATTAATCTATTATTAAATTTATTTATAGATTTATATTTAGGATCCAACATAATTATTAATTGCTTATACATAAAAAAATGAAACACATTATAAACAAGTTCCTAAAAAATATTGGGCAATTTATGTACATTGCGCCCTTAAATAATATCTATTTATAAAACAATAACTCGCTTACATCTCTTTTTTTTTCAATTTATACTCAAATATCAAAATTCACAATAAAAATTCAACTCATATTTTTTAATTTTATCAAATTTCTAAAAATTTAATTGTGATAGACACAAATGCAACATTTAAATAGTTAAAAAAAAACATAGATGGTCATTTTTTACAATTAGCTATATTTCCAATGTATTTTATGTAATTATCCTAGTTTTTAAATGAAAATGTTGGGGGGCATTTACACATGCCACCTAATTCCAATATATTTTCATATCTAACAACTATATTTCATTTTTTGTAGCAATCATACCTAACTTTTTTCACATCACATAAACATTTGATTTAACTTGAAAAAAATAAAATGCCTTTCAATAAGTTAGCATGTTTGTAAGACTTCCAAAAGGTTATTCAAATGAGCTTTCAATAATGTTTCGCTATTCACAAAACATGAAAGTCTTAAACAGTTGTTGTACGACCATGACGACCGTTGTTTTTAATCGCAAAAAAAAAATGAAAAAATAGCCGCGGTACAGTTCCACGCCAATCGATCAAATGTACGAAGTTAGGCTACGAGCACTATATATTTACAAAATCTATATGATTAAATGTCCGTCCGGTCGGCTCCAGACCTTGTATGAGACGAAAAAATATTATATCAGTACTATGTACGTAGAAATAACGTGTGTAGCCAAAGGTATCAAGTCACGACACCCCGTACGACAGGAAAAAAAACGGTGCAGTAACACGGGGAATATTCCCCCTGTGTTATTCATGTGTTATTGAGTGTTATTCATGTGTTATTGATGTGTTATTGTGTTATTATAACATCAGGAATATTCTTAGGACACAATAACACATGAATAAAACACAATAACACATGAATAACACGGGGGAGAATATTCCCCGTGTTACTGCGCCGTTTTTTTTTCTTTGTCGCGCGCGGTGTCGTGGCGTGATTTCATAACGTTACTACTACGTGCGTAGTACTGATGTAATATTTTTTCGTATGAGGCTACAAAGATTTGATGTTTTGGTCTTCCAAGCGACAGAGTTAATGAATTAATTATTCGCATGTCATTTAGTTATAATTATCGTAATGTCGAAGCCAATGACTATAAAGGTAATTTGGATGAATATGGACGGCGTTTGCGTTTCCTGCTATGTCAGTCATTAAAAAATTATTCGATTCGGAAGGTGTATGCAGAGATGTATGAGTCGTTTGATTTTCATAGTTGATCAGAATTTTTATTAATTTTTTTTTAAATGGGCCCACTGAAATACAATTTTGGTCTGATCAATGGTGGAGATCGGACGGCGCATACATCTCTGTATACGCCATCCATATAAAATAATTTTTCTAGGCCACGGGGAATCCGTCCCTTCAAAAATTTGGATTGAATTTGATCTTATTAGTATAAATTTTTATAAATTTGCAGAAATTGAGAATCTCAGAGCAGAACAAAGAGGAATTGGAAATAAGCTATGTGAGTATTTCTCGATTTAATTTTTTTTTTTATGAAAATGAGTTTAAAATATTTTGAATTTGCAAGAAAATTTGCTTGGAAATTAGGTATGATTGCATTGGAACATGCTCATAATATTTTGCATTGAAAGTTTTTAAAATTTTAGTTGAAGGAACCAAAGGTCTTCTCTCGCAAATTTCAGTTGAACTATCTCGTCTGTTCTCATCAAGTTTTGTGCAATTCACCGTCTTAAATTTGAATTTTATGAGGTTCTTCAGCCCCTACACTCGAGAATTCACTAGTTATTTGTAGTGCTTGGTTTTTCTCATGGAGAAAAATAGTTTGACATAAAAGATGTTATATTGTCATCATAATTTTTAATGGACATAAATATGAATTATGATCAAGATTAACGGACTTCATTTTTTGGCACCTAAATTCGATCAGCAAATGTTTTTAAAAAATTTATTAAATTTTGTTTGTCATAATTATGAATGGTGAGTACACATTTTCATTTTCCCCCTAAATTAGGAAGACGGAGTTACTGAGTTAATCATAATAAATATATAATAGTATTTTATTGATAATAGTTGCAGTATGGTTGTAATGAATATAGTTCTTGGTGATGACAGACAAAAATGGTCATAATCGGTTGTTATGGAGGTAGTTGTCCATTGTAAATGTTGTAAACGATTGTAGTGTTAACTTATCAAATTGGTTGTAATTAAAAGCCATGGTAGCAGATTGTTGCTTCGGGAGCGTCAGTTAGCCACACTGTAGTTGGAATCAACAGGAGCTGTGAGCCACATAAGTCAAAGTTAGTTATATACACAGTAGTGTTGAGCAACGATGATGTCTGTGGGCCGCAGGGGCCGAAGTTGGGAGCTGCACAAGTTATAAATCACGCTGGTTGTGGTAGGTTATGATAACGTCCGTAACCCATAGAGGCTGGAGTTTGGATCGACACAAGTTGTGGACCACGTTTGTCATAGTTGGTAATGTAGGTCCTAGGAGCTGATGTTGGAAGCTGCATGAGTTAGGGACCGCTTAGGTCGTGGGTCATGGTTGGACCACATGGAAATAGCGGTGAGCTGTGATGTCGTTCGTAGGACGTGGGAGCCAGAGTCGGGAGCTGCACGAGCTATGGATCATGCAGGCCATAGTGATGAGCTATGAATACATACATATGTCGTGGTGGTTGGAGTTGAGAGCTACAAGAGCAACAAACCACGTAGGCTATAGTGGTGGGCTATGATGACATTCATAGGCTGTTGGGGAGGGGCTGCACGAGCTGTGGACTACGTAGGCTGTAGTGATTAGCTGAGATGGCGTCCGTAAGCTGCACAGGCTGGAGTCGGAAGTTGTGTGAGCTATGCGTCACATAGACCATAGTTGGTTATGTAAGACAAATTTGTGAGCTGTGATAATGTCTGTAGGCCACAGGGGAAGGTGTTTGGAGTTGCACAAGCTATGTGTCACGTTGGTTGTATTTGTTCACGTTTGTTGTAATGGTGAACTGAGTTGACGTACATTAGCTGCGGAGGACAGAGTTGAGAGCTGCACAAACTGTCTGCGACGTAGGTCATAGTTGGTCACCTAGGCTATAAATGGTGAGCTGTGATGATATCGATATGACACAAAGGCTGGAGTCGGGAGCTACACAAGCTATGAACCACATAGTCTATAGTGGCGAGCAATGATGATGTCCATAGGTCATATGGGCCGGGGTTGGGAGTTGCGTGAAGGGATTTTTAAGTGCTTGCAGAAAGTCACCGATTTTGTGGTGCATTTTCACACTATCTTCGATTGGAGTTGAAGTGTACTGTTACAACGTATTAAGGTGACGTCATTACATTCTAGGATAAGTGTGTTGTTATATCATCATCGAAATGTGTCAACTACAGATTTAGAGACCAAGCCAAGAAAATTATTCATAATGTAGGTAGAGTTTACAATACAAAAAAAAAAACGATAGTTTGTACTAAAAAAAGGTCCAGTATAACTATGTACAACCATATTGTATAGAAAAAAAGGATCACGATAAAGAAATATAATTATTTTTTGACAAATTCTTTATGTTCACAACAGCAAACTTAGAGTCAAATGGAAGAAAATTGTTCATGATGTACGTGGAGTGCAAAATACAATCAAAACAACGTTAATGTACTTGAAAAGAACCGAGAAATCTCGAGTGTATGGAAGAACATACTGAACCTTAATCTTAAAAGAATGGAGGATTCTCGAGTGTAGAGCAGAAATTGTTGAACCCTAGACCATCATGGAATTTGGAACACAAATAAGCTGTAGAATTCGAAGAGCCAAACGTCTCGTAGTATGTATTTTAATATTTTGTATTTTTTTTTTCTAAATGGGTTAGCTCAAGCCTCGCTGTTTCTTTTGAATTTATACATAAAAAATAATTACACATGTGTCAATTCGTTATTTGCCTCCAGACGTAGTTCAACTTACAGTCTCCACACGTAATTTTATTTCCATATTGTGGCACTCGTCTTACTCTTCTTCATTTCCATATTTTGTTATTTAATGATAAGAGAGAGGGAGCTAATAAAGAAAACTAAAGGGTATCATAAAAAATAGAACAATTTAGAGGAAAAATCTAAATTAGAAAAAATAGAAATATTATAAAAAAGAGAGATACTCAAAAGCTTATAATTAAAAGAATGTACATCTTCCATCCACACATCAAAAAGTAAAAATATACCAAACAAAAATCAATATAGCAAATATAGATATCATACATAGTTCGGATCTTTTATTATTATTCCTACTCAGAAAAAAAAAAAAAAACACTTTTCAAAAGTTACATATATGTAATTTGAATCATTTGGATAGTTTAAATTAGGATTTGATATGTAAATAAATAGGAATTGAATGGTGTGTCTGTAAATGCCAAAAGAAAAATAAAAAAGAACTGGTTCAATGGAGCGGCGATTCGTCAAAGTTGGTCTTAGCTCAAACACAGCTCACGCCGCTGGTTTGCTTCCACGCAAATCACATAAAATCCCCTCGCCGCCTCCGCCTCCGCCTGAACGAACCTTGACCAACCCACGCCATCCATGGCGGAATTCTCCTTCTCCATCTCCTCATTTCCTCTTCCACTACCCTCTCCGCCTCCTCCTCCACCTCCGCCGGCAGTTCCTTCTGACGGCGACCTACTCCGTTCGCTCCTCCGCCTTTCTCGTGAGATCTCCCTCTTCGACGTCCCATGCCCGCTTCTCTGCCGCTTCTTTAGCTCTCTTACTCGCAAGTCAAAGATCCTCTGCATCCTCTTCGAGGAGCTCCTTCAGGACCCAACCTGGAACGCCAGTGATCTCCCCCGTTCGGCCTCCCTCTGCCTCCGCGAGATCCTTGTTGTCCTGCAGCGCTTCAAAGCCCTCCTTGGGGATTGCTCTGCCCGCAGCCGGATGCGTCTTCTTCTCCAAATCGACTCCATCGGTAACGACTTCCACGAACTCACTCTCGATCTCTCCACCCTCCTCGACATCCTCCCTCTTCCCGACCTCCACCTCACAGACGATGTCCGCGACCTCGTCGATCTCCTTCGTCGCCAGTGCCGCAGATCCAACCCAGCTGTAGATCCTAAAGACGACGCTTTACGGTACGAAATCTTGTTCATGATCCGCGAGATCGAACAAGAGGTCGTCCCCGATCTGTCCCGCCTCACCTCGATCTTTGAACAGCTCGGCTTCGACGGCACCCGGAGCTGCAGGAACGAGATTGAGTGCCTCGAACGAGAGATTGGGGATCGCGTGTCAGAGAAATGGACTCCTGCGATGATCGCCCTCGTCGGAGTTGTTCGCTACGCTAAGTGCGTGCTCTACGGCGCTTCTACGCCGACGTCCGATTCCTCCGCCGGCAAACTCTCCTTCGCGGAATCGGATCCCCTTGTGCCGCCAGACTTTCGTTGCCCTATTTCCCTCGAGTTGATGCGGGATCCGGTAGTCGTGGCAAGTGGGCAGACGTACGATGGGCATTCCATAACCCGGG